GCGCTCTACCACTTGAGCCACAGCGCCACTTCCAGCTTTTTCTGCTTACGTGATACTAAGGAAGCGAACCCAGGGCCTCATGTTGCAAGGCAAGCACTCTACCACTGAGCCACCTTTCCAGCCCTTGGAGACTCTTATCTCCAATTAACCACCAGAAAACTGGAAGTGGGGCTGTGGCTGAAGTGGTAGAGCGCTCGCTTTGAGTTGAAGAGCTGAGGGACAGCGCCCAGGCCCAGAGTTCAAGCCTCACAACCAACAACAACAAAAAGGACAAAGGAACAAATACACTACAAGAGGGCAGATCTGGAGTGAAATGTGAATGAACCCCCAGTAGGCTTCTGGATCCCCACAGTCCCACGGACTCTGGCAAGAAGAACCGAGAGAAGTTCACATAGGGTACTTGGTTGCTGGTATTTCCCAGTGTTCATTTCTGATCATTGTCCTCTGCTTATGTAAGACGCTAACACGGGAGGAGGAAGATATGGAAATTCTCTGTACTATTTTCTGCTACTTTTCTCCAAGTCTAAAATTAGTTCCAAGCGGTTCTTTTTTTTTTTTTTTAATCTACAGTCAACCCTTGGGTGGTTGTTTTTGATGGGCTTTTTGTTTTGTTTTGTGTTTTTTAATCAGAATCCTTGATCTTCTCCCTCCCTTGTTATCTTGGGTAAGGTGTTTGCTGTGGGGAGGGGAAGGGGGTCAGTTTTTTGTTTGTTTGTTTGTTTTTTGGTCTGGGTAGGGCAGATACTTTGACACACTCGGCTGGTCTGGAAGGTGTGTGGAACTGAACCACACCAGACCCCTCCTAGCCTGTTCCTCTTACCTGGGGGTAAGAGCCATTCCCATCCCCCCCCCCTTCCTGGGCAGGGCTAACTGCTGACCATCCTTCCTCCTCAGCCTTCTTCTATAGAGCAGGTGTGGGGGGGGTCCTAGAACAACCCCCCCCTCCCCAATCCTGGCCCTACCCCACCCCCCTGCTCTGCCTTGCTGCTCTCAGTGTGTGATTGTGGCTATGGCAAACGTGGTGGTCTGGAGGGCTCCAGTCCCAAAAGGCTACGTTTGCCACGTGGTGGTGGCTTTCCTGATTACTGAGACCCCCCAGGGCAGAGGGCCAGAGGTCCCTCTGCAGAGGGAGCTGGCTCCCTCTACGGTCTTGCTGTCTTCTCTCCCCAGGCTTTCCTCCTCCATCCCTTTACCCTTTCACTAAGTCACCTCTCCCTCCCAGCCCCTCCTGAGGGCATATGTGGACATGGAATAACTTTCCATTTCCTGCCTGCCAGCGCATTCCTTTTGCTCTTTTGAAGAATCGGGGTGTATGTATGTATGTATGTGTGTGTGTGTGTGTGTGTGTGCTTGTGTGTGTGCTTGTGTGTATCTTGGAAATGCTTGCCAGTGAAGCACAGATTTAGTTCCTGAGGCAGGGGGAAGCAGCCAGAAGCGAGGCTGAGGCTCAAGAGGTAGAGCACCAGCCTTAATCTAAAATTTAAAAAAATACATAAAAATAAGGCACTAGGAAAGTGCTCGGGGCCCTGAGTTCAAGTCCCAGGACCGTGTCCACGTTGCCTGTAGGCTTTGGGACCCACCTGGTGGTAGGTCACTCTTCCTCTTGTCTTAAGGATGTCTTATCAGGTTCCCAGGGTCCAAGGGCAGCCCTGGGGGCCTGCGATCTGTGGTGTGGGGTAACTGACTGCCAGCTGTGGCCCTAGGCTCCCACTACCACACTGGCCCACCACCTCAGCCTCACCAGGAATGAGAGAGGCCCTTCTCTATGATGTTCATACCCCCAAGATCAAAGGCAAGCCCCGTCCAAAGCAAGACACTCAGCCTCCCCTGCCAGCTGGCGAGAATGTGATAGCGTTTGCCAAACAATTAGGCGATTTTGAGAAGCCAGAGTTCCTGGTTGGGCTTGAGGCTATGTTTAGAAGCAGGACTTTCTTCTTCCTCATGTTGGATTCCAGACCGGAACCCCAAATTATAGGGCAACTAAAACTGGTAGTGTATTTAGTCTGCAAATATGTGTGGGGAGTCCAGTCCCGGGGATTCTTGGGAGCTTTGATTTGAGAAAAGGGCCTGCCTCTTCCTGTAGAGAAGCTGAATGGGAAGCTGTGTCCTTTGCCCACTTTGCTCAGCAAGGCCTAGGTTGGCTAGCAGGGAGCGGCAGCCTCGAGGCCCCAGCTCACCTCTCTTTCCCATCTCTGGCCTAGATTCAATCCACCAGTCACTTCCAATATAAATTTTGTGTGTGTGTCAGTCTTGGGGCTACAAGTCAAAGGGCCTGGGCCCTGTCCCTCAGCTCTTCAGCTCAAGGCTAGTGCACTACCACTTGAGCCACAGCGCCACTTCCTGGTTTTTTTTCCCAGTGGTCTCAAGGAAATTTCCTGCCCCATCATCTGGCTTCAAACCACCATCCTCAGATCTCATCCTCTTGAGTAGCTAGGATTACAGTTGTGTGAACCACTGGCACCTAGCTGGCCAATACTTGGTTTTTGTTTTGTTTTGTTTTGTTTTGTTTTGGGTCCGGTCATGGGGCCTGAACTCTGGGCCTGGGTGCTGTCCCTCAGCTCTTCAGCTCAAGGCTCTACCACTTGAGCCACAGTGCCACTTCCGGCTTTTTTCTTTATGTGGTGCTGAGGAATCGAACCCAGGGCCTCAGGCATGCAAGGCAAGCGCTCTACCACTGAGCCACCTTCCCAGCCCCCAATACTTGGTATCAACTCCAGAGTTTCTGTTTTAGGAGCAGGCCAGGCAGAGGACCAGGGTCCAGAGTTAGAGATTTAAAAAAAAAAAAGAAGAAGAAGAGAGAAACTTCCATCTTGAGTGTTATCGGTATCTACTCTACCCACCAGAGTGGGAGTTACGTCAAGTCAGCTCATGATGGCGTATGGTCAGTGTCCAGCCATGCACCTGAGTGGTTCAGGCCCAGCCATGCACCTGAGTGGTTCAGGCCGCTCTGCCTATGTCTTCAGCCTGGGGCTCGGCCCACTGGAAATGCCCTAAGGGCAAGTGTTTTTCAAGAGTAGCAGAAGTGGGTAGGCATCTTGGGCGGCTATAACTAGGCTTCTAGATGCAGCTGTAACTGCACCCTCAGACCATTAGAAGCTTCTAATGTGTGTGCATGCACCAGTGCTAGGGCTTGAACTCAGGGCCTGAGTATTGTCCCTGAGATTTATTTATTTATTTATTTATTTATTTATTTATTTTTTGCTAATACTACCATTTGAGCCACAAGTTCCTCTTCTGGTGATAAGAGTCTCAAAAGACTTTCTTGCCCCAGGCTGGCATTGAACCCGTGATCCTCAGATCTCAGCCTGCTAAGTGATTAGAATTGCAAGCATGAGCCACCAGCACCCTGCTAACCATCCCTCTTTTTTTGTTGTTGTTGTTGGTCCTGGGGCTTGAACTCTGGGCCTGAGCACCGTCCCTCAGCTCTTCAGCTTAAGGCGAGCACTCTACCACTTGAGCCACAGCGCCACTTGCGGCCTTTTCTGTTTATGTGGTACTGAGGAATCAAACCCAGGGCCTCATGCGTGTGAGGCAAGCACTCTACCACTGAGCCACCTTCCCAGCCCCAGGATCCCTATTTTAAAGGACCATCAAGTGTTAATTACCTGAGTCTCACATTCACCTCATAGTCAAGTTCTCCTTTAGCCATCAGGACCTGTGTTTTTCCCAAGTTCAAAGTCAGTGTGCCCTTGAGAGTTTGTGGTTTATAAGATTAAAAGTCTGCCTTGCACTCCGCCACGGTCATCCGGGACTCTCCTTTTCAAGACTCTTGAGGTGGCCAAAGTGAGCATGCCCACAGCAGAGCATCCACCCAGCGCTGGGCTTCTGAATCCATCTTAAGAGCTGGAGATTCAGAGGAGACGCAGGCCATCTGGCCCGTTACAGCCAGTACAGTTCACCAGCCATGGCACTGGGGGGCTTCGGAGCTTCAGAGTTAAAGGATCCTTACCTCTGTGGCGCATGGGTGGTGGAATTGAGAGGAGTGGTGAGCAGAGAGAGGAGGAAAGGAGCCTTGCACATGCATACGGGTTGGTCCGTAGGCCAGCATTGACTCGTCCGGTCACTTGTCCTGGCCCTGGAGAGCCAGGCTCAGGTAGATAGGGGCACAGAGGAACACTGATTAAGAGTAGTGAGAGAGGGAGGGGAGGAGAGGGCCAGATGCTTGGAGCAGAGAGAGGAAGGCAGCCCACAGAGAGGCATGCGAGAGCTGGATGGGAGGGCCAGCTGGATCAGAGTGTCTTGCCAGAAGGCTCAAGTTCTCCCCGAAAGGTGGTAGAAAGAGCCCCGAGGGACTGGCAGAGCTAGCCGTGACATCACATTTGGAATACCCATTCATGAGGCATAGTGGCTTAAAAGCCTAGTCCCCTTAAAAAAGTTGGGGTCCCTCGAGGCGTTGGCTGGGGAGTGTGACATCCCTGATAGGAAACAAACCCACAAAGGAGTTTGTGGCCTCTAAAACCAGAATCCGGGCATCTTGTTGGCCCCGCCCCAAGCTCAACTCAACTTGCAAATCAGGAGAAACTTTTCTACCATGTAAGCTTGGGAGTGCAGCTTCGGTGATCGGGGGGAGCTGCAGAGCTGTGGGCCCGAAACAACCAGGTGCCACACATTCCTGGAGAGTTCTGTTGGCAACGGCCCAAGCTGTGGATTCCCGCTCCTACCACACCATCCGACCAGGAACATTCCCCAGACATCTTTTGTTTTCCCTGGGTTCTGAAGCACCCCATGGGCCCAGCAGCTCATCTCCCCCCATCCTAGACCCCTTCTAACCTGGGCTGCCAGGCACCGATTCCACCCCCTCACACATGGGCTTTGAAAGGTTGGGTCACGTGGATCTGGCCTTAAGGGGAACTTGTCACACTGCTGTCACTCGGGCGTGGTTTTCTCAAGTTTTCCTGGTGGCTTTCTAGGTCATCTTTTGGAGAGGCTATTCTTTTATGTTATCCTCAAGGATTTGAATAGACTGAAGGACTTTTGTTGTTGTTGTTGTTGTTCTTCAGCCAGAAGTGGATTTGCCAGCCCCGTCAGGCAGAGTCAAGAGTCTAGAGTCGGTACACAAACCCCAGGAGCCCAGCAGCATGCCCCACACGCTGACCAGCACACTGGAGCACATTGTGGGCCAGTTGGACGTTCTCACTCAGGTAGGTCACCATGTGAGCCGTCCGCCACCCCCACCCCGGCCGTCGACACAGCCTTGTGCCAGCATCTGGACCATTGGAAGGTGACCCGTTGGATGCTGGCTTTAGTTTCCAGCCAGAGTCTCACTGTGTAGCTCAAGTCAGCCTGAAACTCCTGATCCTCTTGCCTCTTGAGGGCTGAGATTATAAGTGTACAGCACCCCACAGGGCAGATTCTAGAATTACTTACAAACCTAACTACCCTGGACTTATTTGCCAGCTGAATTTAATGAACTAGCAGTGCTTATCTCTGGAATCCTGGTTGTATTTCTCTCTCTTTTTGTTTTTTGGCCCATCATGGGGCTTGAACTCAGGGCCTGGGCACTGTCTCTGAGCTCTTCACCTCAAGGCTAGTGCTCTACCACTTGAGCTACAGCGCCACTTCCAGTTTTCTGAGTGGTTCATTGGAGAGAAGAGTCTCAGGGCCTTTCCTGCCCAGGCTGGCTTTGACCCTCGATCCTCAGATCTCAGCCTCCTGAGTAGCTAGGATGACAGGCGTGAGCCACCACACCCAGCTTGTATTTCTTCATCCTATGCAGCAGTCCCTGGAGCTGGGGCTAAGTGAGAAGACTTCCTGCCCTATCACAGGTCAGCAGCCTGTCCAGGGTCCCACAGATGGGAGCCCATGGGGAGATGCCAAGTGTCAGTGGATGTGGGGTGCCGTGGGGGGGGAAGACTCCAGGGAATGAGGTCCCACCATTTTGGAAAGCCTGTGAACCCCTGGGTGGGGAGCCTGTGCTAAGGGAGAGCTTGTGAGCAGCAGGGAAAGACTTTTAAAAAAAAACCCACTTGAAACCCATCAGAAAGCCGCCCAATGTTCTTCACAGCCTCATCAAGTGACAGATCAAGAAAGGTGGAATCAATTAGAACTTTATAGGATAAAATTGGAAACTAAGTCTGAGAAGACAGGTTAAAAATAGCTTCACTGGATCCAGAGAGAGTATAAGACTTTAAAAAAAAAAAAAAAAGAAACACACATTTCCTGTTGCTGGTGGGGGGGTGGTGGTGGCGCATGGAAGGTTTGTTATGTGTTAGCAATTAGGATGGTAGTAACTGCAAGCAGCCCGTGTCTCGGCCTCAGCGAAGACTCTCCTGTGGCCTGTGACACCCCACACCCGACTATCCCCACCCCCCCACCCCCCCTTTACATATCACCCCTCCACACTGTCCGACAGCACCTCTGCATTCCTCAGTGAGGCCAGATGTGTTCTCGCAGACACCTGGATTTGCACCCCCCCCCATGAGGCATTAAAGCTCCACCCACTTTGGTGGGCATTCATCCCACCATGCTTTCTTGGGGCTCGGCCGTGCGTGGTCTTTCAGGCTCACCATCCTCTCCTGGCCTTGGAGTTCTAGCCGAGGTGTCCCAGACAACAGCCAGGCCAGGGATTTCAGGTTTCCCCCCCGTCCACGTCCCCCTCCCCCCCTTCCTCCTTGACCCTCAAAGTCCAGGTAGAAGGTTCCCTCCATACGCACGCCTCCACTGAGTTCTTCCCATGTGCAGACCTGTGTGAGACCCAGTCTGCCCTCCCAGCTCTGCAGACCTGGATCTGCTGGTGATAGAGCCAGACATCTAAGGAGGAGCAAGACAGATTCGGGGGGGGCAAGGGGGACCAATGTCTCGGGGAGCCCAGCGGTCCAGGTCGAGGAGGCCTTGGACAGCTATGTTTCCACACATCTACCTGTCGTCATGATCTCGTGAGATCAGTGTAAGTCAAGCATCTCAGGAAGGGCCAGGCCTTCCCTTGGCCCCCCATCCCATCTGCCCTGAACCCAGGCGACGAGGCCCCTCTATTGTGGCTGAACCCAGGAGTGGCTGGGTGTCACTGAGCAATCTAGACAGAGGTCGTTTTCATAGATGCTAGAAAGCCAGCAAGCTGCCTAAGCTGCTCTCTGCATAAGATCATTTCCCCATCGTCTTCCACGGCTTTCTCCATGATCGGTCAGAGGCCAGCCTTTCTGCCTCACGAGTGACCGGTTCTGGTGGTGTCTGCGAATCGGAAAGGTCCTAGGCCTTCCTAAACGGGAAGGTTTGGAGTGTGGCAATGGTGGACAGTGTCCCAGAGCCCCGAAGGCCGCCGTGGGGCCTGGCGCAGACCCAGCTAGCAGCTTGGCGGTTTTTGCCTCCAAAGCCCACAGCAAAGTTATTTTTGACTCCGGTTTCACATCTTGCTTGCTTTTTAAAAAATACTGAGCCATGAAATCCTTGCTCCAACTGCTTTTCAGGCTGGCCCCAGCCTGCGTGTGATGTCACATTCAGGCTCCTGTGACTCATGGAAACTTCTGGGCTCCAGGACTCGAAATTCACAGAGTGGCAACAAAGCCCACCCTCGTTTGGGGGGGGGGGGTCTCTTTAACAAATGTCTAGGTCACCAAGCTCTGTTGACATAGTTGATCAAGGTCAAGGATTTCGCCTGTTTGACTTGGTGTTCGAAGGCCTCCCTTTCTGAGATTCTCTCAGTATCCCTATTTGAAGGGGGCCGCCCACGCGAGGTGGCCAGCTCCCCATCAGTGGGGAAGCTGGGGTTGCTGCACCCAGGCAGCTGCGGCCAAGCTGGGGACCACTACTTGGGGCTCAGAGGTCCTATGCCAGGCCGGCATAGCCATTGTTTTATTTACTTATTTATTTATTTACTATAGGTCCTGGGGCCTGAACTGTGGGCCTGGGCGCTGTCCCCCAGCTCTTCAGCTCCAGCCTAGCTCCCTACCCCTTGAGCCACAGCACTGCTTCCAGCTTTTTCTGCTTCTGTGGTGCTGAGGAATCGAACCCAGGGCCTCAGGCATGCAAGGCAAGCGCTCTACCACTGAGCCACCTTCCCAGCCCATGGCTAGCCATTGTCTGTGGAAACACACTCCAGATTTTAAAGTAATACCCGGTTTTTGACCCTCCGAGGTGCACAAAAACATATAGGATAAGTCCCCCCCTTGTGGCCTCTAGCCCTCCCCATTTCTCTACTTGGGAGGCTGAGATCTGAGGATCACGGTTCAAAGCCAGCTTGGGCATGAACGTCTGACTCTTATCTCCAATTATCTGCCAAAAAAAAAGGAAAGAAAGCCAGAAGTGGAGCTGTGGCCCAAGTGGTAGAGTGCTGTAGCCTTGAGCAAAAGAAGCGCAGAGACAGCATCCGAGCCCTGAGGTCAAGCCCCAGTACCAGCACCCAGAAAAGAAAAAAGCCCTGTGTCCAGATCAGCACTTGCTAGCTGGGATGGACCGCCTCCATCCAGAGTGAACTTAGCCAGTCAGCCACAGTCAAGTTCACAGCCACAGAACCCTCCCCCTTTGGGGTGTAGGGATGAATGACTTATTCTCCCCTTTATCAAAGAGACCGCTTCCATAGTAGCATCTTATGCCCGGGCTCGTGTGGCTCTGCCCTGGAGAGGTACATGGGAAGCTGTACCTTCCCAAGTAGCAGGGCAGGGAGCATGTGGCCACCCCTGCTCACCATGCTCCAGAGCCGGCTCGTTTGCTACTGCACGGGGGCCGGGTGGCAGCTCCCACGGGGGAATCTGGCAGAACACTCGTGCTTTCCATTTTCTACCCCGTCTGCGGTTGCGAGAAGCACACCACCCCCACCCCCTCCAACCAAGCCCCCGCCTTCCAGCTGGGCCCCAGCAGCTGCGGTTACCTCTGGAGCCTGGGAATATTCATGGTGGGTCGTTGGAGATTACTGGGGGGCGGGGGCTGGAGGATGGGGGGGGGCGGAATGAGGCTCACACAGGAACAACTCACTTGTGAGAACTTGAGGTGAGGGAACTCTAGGAAAGTTCCAAGAGACCACAAGGGGCTTGTGAGTTCAAGCACCATGACCGACAAACTAAACAGAAAGAAACAGGAGGCAGAAGGTGGTGTGGGATTGTCAGCCCCACACTTAGCTCTGGTGGGTTCCCTCTAGAACCAGAACACTGCAGAACACTAGCATCACACGCCTGGCTAGCTCCCAGGCCTGTGTTGGCCGTGGCCTGCTTCAGGTCCTCTCTGGATATGAGCTACCACCCTGCAGATTCCAGAACCCTCTGGTTGTTACAAGTGGTGGTGCGGTCTCCCACATTTTTTTGGGGGGGGTGGGGGCCCGTGGTTGGTCTTGAACTCTGGGCCTGGGCGCTGTCCCTCCGCTCTTCAGCTCAAGGCGAGCGCTCTACCACTTGAGCCACAGCGCCACTTCCAGTTTTTCTAAGTGGTTTATTGGAGATAAGAGTCTCACGGACTTTTCCTGCCCAGGCTGGCTTTGAACCATGATCCTCAGATCTCAGCCTCCTAAGTTGCTAGGATGACAGGTGTGAACCACTGGCGCCTGGCTTTTTTACACACACACACCAGTTTCTCCTTTTAAGGAAAGCAGTGTGCTATGCAAGCTGTGCTTATTTATTTAAAAAAGGATTTATAAAGAAGGCAAATTAGCCAAGATTCCTTAATCCGGTAGTAATCCACTGGTAGAAAATACTGTTTTATGTACTTCCCAAAGAAAACTAATCCTCAGCCCGGGGGAGGGGGGCGCTGGGGAGGCAGAAATGGCAGGGAAATGTTATCTCCCTGAGATAATGGGAAACAGAATCTGGGACCCACAAGCTCAAGGAGCACAAAGCTTTCTTCGGGTTTTGTCCAGCCGACTGCGGGCTCATGGGGAATGCTTAAAGATGAGCCCCAGGATTGCAAGGAATCTCTCGAGATACTTCCGTCGTGTGGCCCAGATGGGTGCGATCCCAGGCTCTGTCAGTGTACAGGATCCGTCGTCAAATCAGACCTGAGATGGGAAAGGGCGGGGCCAGGGCTCTCCTCCATTCTCAATCCACTTTGATCTGCACTTCTGGCTGAAGCCAGGAAGCCTGGTCCCTCCCAAGGCTAGCTGGCCGGCTCTGGTCCCTCCTGGCCTCAGCCAGGGTAACTGCTCCTCAGAAGCCAGGCTCTCTACTTGTCCTCTCCCCCCCCCCCCCAGTGCTCAGCCCCGGCATTCCATCCGTCAGCACTGGGTGCGCACACTGGTGCACCCGTATACACCAGGAGACAAAGCATCCACTGCCATGTCTTGATAGCTCCCAAGACCCCACCAGCAAAGAGACTCCCCCTTTCGTGCATCTGTTTTGGATCTTTAGAATCCGAGTGAAGTCAAAACCAAGCCACGAGGGAGATGGATTCCACATTTTCCCCTTTTTGCAGTGAAGCCAAACGCAAGTTAGGCTTTGCACAAAGCACCACCGAGATAAGTGTGTTGAGCCCATGGCCATCTCCAGGGACGTGTTCCCCAGTGGTGGAGTAGGGTGACTGTGTATCCCTTCCCTTTGACCCAGAGCAGTTGGAGGGGGGCCCTACCCTTTGTCCCCCGAACTTTGATTTCCTGTGTTTGTGGGGAAGGGAGCTGGCAGACCCCAGCTCCTCCAGGAGGCTCAAATCAGCCACAGTCCTGGAAATGATTAACAGCAACTTTCCATCACCGGAGAACTAAGAAGCAGCCAGACCACCATGTGCCCCAGTGGTTCAGACCCTCCCTCCGACAGGACGACAGGCCTCCCTTTTAGGGACTTCAGCGAGCCCCGTCTATGCTCAGGCCTTTCCCCATTAGCTCAGATCTCAGCACAGCCAGGGCAACAGCTGGGGGAGTCACCGTTGCCCACAGTTGCTCTGAAAAAAGAGACTGGAGACAGGTCAGATAAAACTTGCCCAGGGCTGAGTCCGCTAGGTTCATAGTCGACTTCAGATTTGAACCCAGGCCATGGAGCGAGAGCTCTCGCCCGCTAGGAATTGCTCTGGCAGCATTTCTGAGGTCTTGTGCCCGTGCTGGGGAAAGGGGGGGGTGTTCCCAGGCCCCATGCATGCATGGGCTAGGGTCCAGGGGGCAAGGTGGGGGGCTGGGGAGCCAGAGTGGGCCCTTTGGAGATCAGTCGGGGAGTCTGACTTGGACAAGACAGGGGAGAGGACACAGAAGCAGCGGAGGTGGAGGGGAGGGGGGGTCTGTGTTCTCTGCCTTCCCAGAGTGCTCAGTGCCCAGCATTTGCCCAGACAGCAGGTACACATGGTACTGACAGGGCAGCCTCCCAGCTCACGTGCTGATTGGACAGCGTGTGCCCAGACGTAGCCCAATGGGGCAAGGAGTCTCCTCGGCAGAGCCCCACCTCCACCATTGCCCTCTCCCAGGCCCCTCCCTGGCTTACCATCAGAACTGTGCCTAGGCGGTCTGTGCCAGCCCAAGGCAGCTGCAAACCCCTCCCCCTTCTCCCCCCCCCATGCCTCTGCCCCCCAGCCAGATCCTCACAAACATGTGTCTGGATGTCAGCTCCCTGGCCCGGCCACCCCGTCTACCTCCATGCCATCTTCCCGCCTGGGGTAGAAGGAGGGGAGCAGGGGCTGCTGGGAAGTTCTGCCCTGGGCCTGGACGGGAATTGGGGGTGCATGGGAAGGGGAGGGGTTGAGGTAAAACCAGCACACAGGGTGTGAGGATCTAATTGGGTGTCCAACGTGGCCCAGGATCTCAATTCCTAGTAATTTGGCTTCTGTCTTTCCCCTAAGACGTCATTCACAGTTAGAGGTGCTAGAGCAGCCTCTCCTCCACCATCTTTCCCTGCCCAGCCACGCTAGGCCAACCACACTGCCCTCAGCGCCTTTGTACCTGCTGTCCCTGGGAACCCACTTCCGATCCACCCACCTTGCATTGTCCCTGTTGCTGCCGGAGGTGGCACTTCGCTGATCTGCCACCCCAAAGCAGGTGAGCTCCGTTGGGGGCTCAGTCCCCATAGGCCTGACACACACCTGGTTCTGTTCCCCTCACCTCAAACACAGAAACAGGTGAGACTCAAAAGGGTTGGGAAGCGCAGCCAGGAAGGGAGCAGCTGCTGAGGACTGAGGGGAGTGAGCCAGCAGGACCACGGGGCAGCTCAGGGGAGAGGCCCAGGGGGTAGGTGTCCCCCAGACCCCAGGGTACCCAACTTGCTGATTTGACTTTGGACTTGATTTTTGGTTTGTCAAGCTTGGGGCTTGAACTCTGGGCCTGGGTGCTGTCCCTCAGCTCTTCAGCTCAAGGCGAGCGCTCTACCACTTGAGCCACAGCACCACTTCCAGTTTTTTGATGGTTCATTGGAGATAGAGTCTCATGGACTTTTCCTGCCCAGGCTGGCTTTGAACTGCGATCCTCAGATCTCAACCTCCTGAGTAGCTAGGATGACAGGCGTGAGCCACCAGTGCCAGGCCCTTTTTTTTTTTTTTTTGGGTCAGTCTTGGGGCTTGAACTCAGGGCCTAAGCGCTGTTCCTGACTGAGCTCTTTCGCTCAAGGCCCTTGTACTTTGAGCCACAGCACCACTTCCAGTTTTCCGGTTTTCTGATGGTTCATTGGAGATAAGAGTCTCACAGACTTGGCCTGCCCAGGCTGGCTTCAAACCATGAGCCTCAGCTCTCAGCCTCCTGAGCAGCTGGCATGAGCCACAGGTACCCAGCAGCTTTGGACCTTTGTCCCCCTTTCCTGTGATGTGTAGAGAGAGCGCATCCCAGGCCGGGTACCAGCTAGCTGCGGCCAACACTGGACAGGAGCTGGGCTTGGTTCCCAGAATCCTTCGTGACCCCGTGCAGGAAGGGGGTGCAGGGCAGAGTGGGTCAGAATAACCCCATGCTATGTTTTGCCACTGCGGGGGGGGGGTCTCGCGGGAACTCAAGATGAGTCATGACAGAGCCCCATCCGGCCCCCAGCTCATGGACCACTGGAGCTGCCCAGCCACGCTCCCAGGTTTCCTCAGTTCCTCCATCTTGGGAGTTCATCTGGGCAGAGCAGTCCCTCCTTTGTGCAGGCTCCCCCTCCCCCCCATTCCCCAACATACACCCTTTACTCTGGGCTGTGACCCTGGTATACAAGCCGAACCCAGCCAGGCATGAGCTTTCCCCATTGGCACCTGTACTCTGACCCGGGCGCCACTTGGAGAAGGGCCTTTCTCGAAAGTTCCCCCTGACTGGACAGTGCAGGAATGGCAGGCTCTCCAGCCTGGCCAGCACAGAGCAAGGAGGGCATGTGGCAGAATTGCCTAGGGGGTACCTAAAAGGGGAGGGGAAGAGAGTCGGGGGCAGCCGACATTTTGAGGCCCGACTGGGGACCCCTGGGTCATGCTGAGCCCTGGGGAGATCAGTGGCCGCCCTGGTCCTCTGGTTGGTGTGGACACGTGTTTACCTGTGTCCTTTATATTTGGGGGGCCCTAGAGTTTCAACCCAGGGCCTTGCACTTGGTAGGCAAGTGCTCCGCTACTTTCCCTGTAGTTGTTTTTTTCAGATAGAATCGCGTACTGGCCGGGCACTGATGGCCCACGCCTGTCATCCTAGCTACTCAGGAGGCTGAGATCTGAGGATCATGGTTCAAAGCCAGCCCTGAGACTCTTTATCTCCAAAGATCCACACACAAAAAAAACCGGAAGTGGTGCTGTGGCTCAATTTGGTAAAGCGCTTGCCTTAAGCAAAAAGAGCTCAGGGACAGCACCTACACCCTGAGTTCAAGCCCCATGGCCAACAAAGAAAAAAAAACCACAGAGGAAAAGAAACGCCACAGGCTGAGCTCCTCACAGCAGCCTCGATTCCCTCGTTTGTCTGTCTGTCCATCCAACCATCCGGCCATCTGAGAGGCTGGGTAGAGAGTGATTTTTGGCTTGTGAGTTTTGCAGCAGCTAGTGGAAACTTCCAGAAGTGTTGCTTGGCCCAGCTAGGCATGGCAGCTGGCATGTGCAGTGGGCACCTTCCACCTGGGCATGGTTGGCTTTTGATGGCAGAGACCTCACTGGGCTCAGGGGACCCCGAGCCCAGCCTGGAAGTGTATGTGGGGAGGCCCGAGTCGTATCCCCTGGGATATACGTGGTCTCCAGTTATTCACCCAACAAAAAAGCTGGTTCTGGCTGGGCGCCGGTGGCTCACGCCTGTCATCCTAGTTACTCAGGAGGCTGAGATCTGAGGATCACAATTCAAAGCCAGCCCGGAGAAGACAAATCTGAGAGACTCTTAGGTCCAGTTCACCAGCAAAAAGCTGGAAGTAGAGCTGTGGCTCAAGTGGTCGAGCACTAGCTTTCAGAAAAGAAAGCCAAGGGAAAGCAGGAGGTCCTGAGTCCAAGCCAAAGAAAGAGAAAGGGGGGGGGGAAGGACCTGTGATGGGAGGGAAAGCCAGCCTGGGGGGGGGGGCTGGGTCCTGACCCAGACGTCCATCTGTCTTGCAGACAGTGTCCATCCTGGAGCAGCGGCTGACGCTGACAGAAGACAAGCTGAAGCAGTGTCTACAGAACCAGCAGCTAATCATGCAGAAGGAAACACCGTGATGGGGCAAGGGGGGAGGGCACGAATCAGGAGTTCACTCGATTGGGGGTGGGGGTGCGGCAGCCAGCCAGGGATCTTGTACCAGGAGACTGGGGTAAAAGAACAAAGGGAATGGGCTCTGTGAGGATCACCTACAGGCCCGGGATCCCACAGCTCTGCTCTCCCGCCCCCCCCCAAAGCAGGCCTGGCCCTGGAGAAAGGATGCTGGAGGCGGGACCGTGCCTGGACAGAGGCTTCTCATTGGCCTGTGTTCTCACGCCCCTCCCAGCCCTGCCCCCTGGCCTTTCCCACGGCTTGCAGAACCCACTGCTCTTGTCTGGAGGATGGGCCAAGTTGGCTCCACTTCTGACAAAGCCCCACCCCCGTGGGCCCATCCATCCCAGTGGAGTCTGCTGGGGGAAGCAGCTCCGTGGAGCAGGTGGTAGCCGCACCACGGCCTTGCTGTCCCCTGTGCGTGCCGTGGGGCCTGGCGACGGAATGTGAACATTAAAACGGACTTTACGGATCTTGTTGCAAGAATGGCTGGTTCTGAGCAAGACCTCACCACTGTTTGGCTGTGTGGGCAGAGCAGCAGCGTGAAGATTGTTTTTGTTGGTTTGTTTGCCAGTCCTGGGGCTTGAACTCAGGCCCTGAGCGCTGTCCCTGAGCTCCTTTTGCCCAAGGCTAGCACTCTACCACTTGAGCCACAGCGTCACTTCCGGCTTTTTCTGTGTCTGTGGTACCGAGGAATCTAACCCAGGGCTTCAGGCATGCTAGGTGCTCTACCACTAAGCCACTTCTCAGGAGGCTAAGATCTGAGGATTGTGGTTCGAAGCCAGCCCCTGGCAAGAAAAATCCATGAAACTTTTTTTTTTTAATCTCCATTGAACCACAAATGGAGCTATGGAGCTGTGGTTCCAAGTGGTAGAGTGCTAGCCTTGAGCCAAAAAAAAAAAAAAAGCTCAGGAATAGCTCCCAGGCCCTAAGTTCAAGCCCCACTACGGACCAAAAGCAACAAAACTCTTAACGTTACAATATACATATATGCATAGCCAGTTTAACTTGCTGATACCAAGTCCTCTCTGCCAGATCTTAAGGGCTCCAAGAGACACATTGCGGGTGGGGGGGGGGACAGCCCATCCCCACCTCTCCTCCCCCAAGTGGCCACGCCCACCCACAGCTGGCCTGTTCAAGGGTCTCTGTCAGGAAGCCCAGGCTGCCGATCCTGGGGCCTCTTGTATGTGACTCATCTGGCTGGTTCCCTTCCCCGCACCCCCCCCTTCACCCCCTCCCCCCAAGCTTCGTCAGGCCCAGATTAAGGGCATCCTGTGCTGGTGTCTCCTGGTGGATGGGTCGGTGACCCTTTGCCACAGACAGGGAACTACCTGTGCTGTCAGACCCTGTCCCTAGAGCCAGCACAGACTTGGGGGTAGGTGTCAGTGATTACCCGGAATCCCGGAAACCCAGCCCACTGAGCAATCCAGAAAGCCCATGAGTCACCCCAGCCTGGGCCCCGGCTCCCCCATTAACCCTCTCTTCCCCACCTGTGCCAACTCCAGCCTTCACCACTCTTGTGTGTAGCCATTTAGAAGGTTCTCAAAAGTCCCCCCCCCCTTCCTCTTGACCCTGTCCTGTTCCCCATCAAGCCCCCAGCCATGTTTCCCTGGGCACTGTGGGCCCACCCTCAGCCTTTCTGGATAGTGTCTTCTAGAAGCTTCTTCCTGACCCATGAAAGGTCAGAATACAAGAACCCTCCTAGGATCCCATCTGTAGAGCAAGCCCAGGAGGCCACCGGGGACCCCTCTGCCCTCACCCCTGCCAGCCATGAGAAATCTGTGCTAAGACCAGAAACTATGGCAGAAAGGAAGTGGTGCTTCCTACAACTTCCTCTTGTCAGCCTCCTCTTTCCGTAAGTGGCGATGTGGTTCAAGTGGTAGAGCGCCCGCCTTGAACTGAAGAGCTGAGGGACAGCGCCCAGGCCCAGAGTTCAAGCCCCATGACTGACAAAAGAAAAAAAGCTTGTCAGATAACTCGAGTTCTCTCCACTTTGAAAGCTACCCTAATGTCCTCTAAGCTAAACATTCTTCACGTTTAGACACCACTTTCACCCTCCACCACCCTTTCCACTCCAGCCACAATAGCTCTTTACTCTTTCCGCCCCAGGGCCTTTGCACCTGCGGTTTCTGCTGCCTGCCGGGAATGCAAGACTTCACCTGGGAGGTGTGGTATACTAACTGATAGCAGGGGGACGCCTCAGGGCTGCCGGAAGATCTGAGACAATTCTCACTTAGCTCCCAGAGCTGTTCTTGTGGCCACAGGGCTGTGACCTTTTGCCCAGGAAGTAGGTACTCCATTGCTTCCCAGAGGGAGGTCCATTGTACCTGAGACACGCTCAGACTCTGCTTCCCCAGTTTCTCTCATTTACCACTTGAGCCACACCTCCACTAATGGCCTTTTGGTGTTTCCTTGGAGAGAAGAGTCTCAAGGCCTTTTCTTGAGTAGGCTGGCCTCGAACCCACAATCCTCCGATCTCCGCCTCCAGGGTAGCTAGGATGACCGGTCTGAGCCACCGGTGCCCGGCTTTGCTTGACCTTTTCCCCTAGGAGATGTCTAGCCACTAGAAGCTGACCCAGGAGCCTCTGCACACACACCGCCCCCCCCCCCACTTTCCCAGCCTTCCAGTCCATCTGCAAGCTGGGGGAGGGGAGAGCAGGCTGGGGGGGGGAGGGGGGAGGGCTGATCTCCCGACTCCCACCTGCCCAGCCCTGCCCTGCCCCACCATGATTCAGAATTCAGCCACATAGAGCCAGGATTTGGGGAAAAGCAACAGGCCTCAAAAGGGGCCTCTTTCCTGTCCCCGCCTATCTACCCCCCCCCCCGAGCTGGCCAATGACCTGGGGCCTCCTGCAGGGAGGGGCCTCAGGAGTCTGGCTGCCATACTGGGAGGTTGCCCAGAGATTCTGGGGAGAAAGCCTTGGTTGGCCTGCCTCTCCCTCCTCCCCTCTTCCCTGCACATGTTTCCAATCCCCTCTCCCCTTCCCCGGCCCCTTTCCCATTTCCTCTCACAGGCATCTGTGCGCATGTGGAAGTCATTAAAGGGGGGGGGGACCCTCAGGGCCCGTAACATAACTCTGGCCTGGGCTTGGGGAGGGGGCCCTGTCCACAGCACCCCCATGCTGAGACGTGGCTGCCTACCCCTTTGGGCCTCTATCCAGGCCCTTTGCTGGTGATGGGCAAGAGCCGATGGGCGCTGCTGCTAGAAAAGAGCCCCAAGCAGACAGCCAGGCCCCTCACAGCTCCCATCACTGGTGGGGGACAGCGAGAATGGGAAGGATGTCCAGAGCAAGCATCCTGAGGATTGTGGTTCAAAGCCAGCCTGGGCAGCAAAGTCCGTGAGACCCTGATCTCCAATGAACCACCAGAAAACCGGAAGTGGCGCTGTGGCTCAAGTGGTAGAGCGCTGGCCTTGAGCTGAAGAGCTGAGGGACAGCGCCCAGGCCCAGAGTTCAAGCCCCACGATTGGCCAGACCCTCCCCGCCCCCCAAAGGTTTGAGCACAAATTGTCTGCTGGTTTCCCAGGCAAAGTGGGAATTGAATATGAAGCAGATCACCATCTGGCGGGATGCTGATGACTGCAAGTTGGTCCCTAACCTCCTTTCTTCCTCATGGTCAGACAGGCAGGTGGCTGAGCTGGCAGGGCCAGAGGCCCGGGCCTTTTCCATACAGTGGGGCCTGCCCAGGCAGGCCCAGGAAGTTGGGAGTTTCCATGGTACCATCTCACCCTGCCACCGAACACTGCCTGGAAGATGGGGCACACGCCCACTGGAGGGCCAGATCTTTGTTCAATCTGTCATCATCCTACAGCTACTCAGGAGGCTGAGAGCTGAGGATCGTGGTTCAAAGCCAGCCTGGGCAGGAAAGTCCTTGAGACTCTGATCTCCAATGAACCATCAGAAAACCAGAAGTGGCGCTGTGGCTCAAGTGGTAGAGCACCAGCCTTGAGCTGAAGAGCTGAGGGACGGCGCCCAGGCCCAGAGTTCAGGCTCCACGACCGACCAAAAAGAAAGGGGCAAAAGAGGAGGCGAGGAGATGTCTGACAGATCTGGCCTCTTATGTACCCTGCCCCCACAGCAGAGGCCCTCTCCCCCATCAGAACCCCTCCCTCAAGGATCCAATAGCACTTCAGTCTTCTCCCAGGGGGGGAAAGCCTTGGGGTGCATGTAGCAAGAACAGGGGGCCCCCCATCCCCCCCCAAACATTCATAGTGAATCCTGGTAGCTGGACAGCGGTGATGGTTGTGTGGGATGACGGCACTGGGTGTGAGACTTGAGTTGGGGTTGTAGGGGATGAGGCATCAAGCTTTGGTTCCCAGGCTATTTCCCCAGCAAATCCCATCACGATGAAGGTCATTGTCACCAGCTCACAGGAGGGATTCCTGAAAAACAGGGCTGCGTGGGCTGGCAGGGAGGGGACCAGACAGGCCCAGGCAGGCAGCGCAGGATATGAATGAGGCAAGTAAGCCCCTAGCAGCTACCCAGAGACCTGCCCATCAGAGACAGGCCTAGCCCAGGCCCGGGGCACATCCACCCGTCAGGTGCCCTGGGAATTCCTGTCTTCTTCCACTCACCCAGCCTCAAAGCCTAGACTGATTTCATTATCAAGATTTCCTTTATTATTATTTTTCTTTTAATTTCCACCTCTCGGAATCCTAAAGCTTAGGGGCAGTAAAGTTTCACACAGATAGAACCAGGGTATCCCTACCCCCAACTCCATTGCATTTGTAGTGGGGGGGGGGGATTGTGGGGCTTGAACTCTGGGCCTGGGCACTGTCCCTCAGCTCTTCAGCTCAAGGCAAGCGCTGTACCCCTTGAGCCACAGCGCCACTTCCGGTTGTCCGGTTCACTGGAGATAAGAATCACATGGACTTTCCTTGCCCTGGCTGGTTTTGAACCGTGATTCTCAGATCTCAGCCTCCTGAGTAGCTAGGATGACAGGCGTGAGCCATTGTTTGGGCTGAGAGAGTGTGTGTTGTGGGGTCTCCCCTTCCTACCTCCCCACTAATGCTGTTCAGCGCGTATGGACTTCCAGAACCTTCCTGGCACAAGTGGCTGGTTCACGTAGGCTGGGCACATTTGTAATCAACATACTTTGTAATTCTAGCTACTTACTCAGAAGGCTATGATCTGAGGATCATGATCCAAAGCCAAGCAAAGGCAAGAAAGTTGTGAAACCCTTTATTTCCAATTCACCGGCAAAAAAAAAAAAAAAGCCAGAAGTGAAGCTGTTGCTCAAGTGGTAGAACACCAGCTTTGAGTGAAAAATGTAAGAGACAGTGCCCGGCCTTGAAGCTCCAGGACTGGCACAACAAAAGGAAGAGGGCTGGGAAGGTGGCTCAGTGGTAGAGTGCTTGCCTTGCATGCATGAGGCCCTGGGTTTGATTTCCCAGTACCACAATCACAGAAAAAGCTGGAAGTGGTGCTGTGGCTCAAGTGGTAGAGTGTTAGCCTTGGGCAAAAGAAACTCAGGGACAGTACCCAGGCCCTGAGTTCAAGCCCCAGGACTGGCAAAAAAAAAA